AAAACGTAGGGTCACGTTTCCATGGGAAATAAAACACAGTTTTTTTTTTGTATTTTTTTTTCATTTTAATAATATATTTTTATTGCCGATTTTTAAATGACATTGTATTCGAAACAAACATATATATATAGCATTTTCAGATTAAATGAAACCTTTTACAAATTAAATGAAACCTTTTCCAAATTAAATGAAACCTTTTCCAATTGGAATGAAACCTTTTACAAATGGAATGATATTTTTTCCAAATTAAATGAAACCTTTATTTTTATCGAAGGAAATATAATATTTCCAGTAATTTTAAATCAATATTTAAAAATGAAATCAAAGAATATTAAGAATTCGGTGTGATTTTATTTTAGAAAAAGTATTGAATACCCGATCCTAAATGCGAAATACATATTTGATTTAAAAAATTGTTGATGATAAGGTAACTGCTTATCTTAATGAAGAGGTTACCGACTTGCAGCTTGTGGGATTTTCAAAACCATGTCCATAACGTAGTTAGAATTATCTTGCCGAATAAGCTGAATACTTCGCTCGATTACATCAACAATGTTATGTTCCATTGAAACGTCACACAGTTCAGCTCTTGTACATAACATTATTTTTAGAAATGCTTTTTCGATTGGATTTTCCATTGTAGAATAAGGCGGTAAGAATTTAAGGTTGCATCTTTTGGATTCGATCAAATTTTTTATGTCATGTCGATTGAGTATTTGAGCGTTATCCATTATCGAGAACGAATTTTCCAACTCTGGATTGATTTTCTAAATATAATAATTTTAATTTGTAAAAGTTCCATTTAATCTGGAAATGCTATATATAGTAATAGCAAGAAAAATATGGTAGAAGACTCCGTTTTCCATGGAAGATATCCCAAAGAGCAGATGCTCTGTATTGTACATTTTTAGACGTCATCCTGAATACCATATTTGACCAGTTAAAACTTATGATGGGACCAATAAAATCTGTATTAATAAAAAAATACATTAAAAGACTTTTTAAAATGTTTAAAAAATAAATAGCAAAATAAATAAAATATGTTTTTAAGAATATTTATTGAATAAAAGAAATGAAGGTTTTTTGAAAAGTATTAGACCATTCAAGAATTTTTCTCAAAGACCATTAACGTCCAAAGGGATTGTTTAAAAAATTCAAGGACCATTAAGTACTTTTTTTTAAAGAGTATTAAAGATTTGATTTTTTAAAAAAGTTTCCACAAGGAAACTTATGGAAAAAATACCCAGTACTATTAAAGCGTGGATTTAAAAACAGATTCTCAAGGACTGCGAAGGCTTTATATGCATATGTTTATAACAGGTAAAAGAGATACATGAGATAGATACATGGTTCCTTTTGAGAATAGGCACAAAGTACAGGTAGCATTTATGATCTGAATTGGATGAAATTTGGCCAAGCTCATTTATTTGGCCCAAGGACGAACCCTATTGAAATTGGGAATAATTGGTTCAGATTTAGATATAGCTCCCATATATATTTTCGTCCGATTTTATGTAAAAATCGGGTCAGATTTAAGGGCCCCATACCCTATAAATCATGTCATTTGTCCGAAAAATTGCATTTTAAGTCGTAAATTCAGTTGTTTTTTATTCCGTTACAATTTTATTATTTTTGTACAAAAAAATAATTTACTGACAACTTCCAAAATTAATATTTAATTTACACGAAATTTTGCATATCGTACTAAATTAAGTCTAGAATGATGAATGTTTCATGAAAATCGGTTCAGATTTATATATAGCTCCCATATATATATATATATATATATTCATCCAATTTAAGGAAAATGACGTACCAAAGTCCCTATATATCTTTCGATTTGTACGAAATTTGGCATCGCGTACTATATTAATGAGCCGATTACGGATGGTAAGCATAGTTAAGTGGCGTTGCCAAATTTGAATTATGGATGGCAACTGTTGTTGACTTCAGTTGCTTCAAATAGCATTTTTAGGCAACCAATTATTTCTGATTGATGTTAATCGTGTTTAACAATAATAACTGAAATTTGTAGGCTTCCCATAATGGTTAAAATTACTACAAAATGGCGAACATCTTCTTTTGGGCCCATGATATGTACATGTGTGCCATCTATACTTTGTTTTCGAATAAAAAAATGTTTATTCTACCCTTTTTCCTCCTCTGTTAATTTGGAAACAATCAAATTTTTCACACTTTTTCCTATATTATCCGGACAACTTCAGCCAAAACCACCGATATTGTGGGTTGAGCCATGCCAAGTTTGAAGTCATTGCCATGGGACTTTTGAAAACTTCCCTCCGCAAAAAACCTCAGAGCTGCACACACTTTTAAGAGAGAAGGAATTGCTGTTGACCGTCGGGCTTTTCGGAAACCAGGGTTTAATGCTTCAACTAAGTACACAACGGCATCTTTTGGTAGCCGAAAATACGTCTTAAAGCTAAAATGAGCATTTGATTGAACCTAACATCACAGTACGGATGGCAGCTCTAAAGGATTGGATTTATCTCGTAAATGCCTTCTAATAGATGATACGCCTTACGGGAAAATCGGTTGAAATTTGGATATTGCTCCTTCATATTTTTCTCCGATTTCAAGTAGGTGAAGCAACAAGGACCCAATGCACCAAGGCAAAGAACATACTGAAATTAGTATAGCCTAACCTGCGACAACTTTCGTTGCAATCGGTTCAGATTTAGATATAGCTGTCATATACACAATTTTGCACAGCGTACTGAATTAGGTCCGTATTAATGTCTGCAAAGTGTTGTTGAAATCGGATTTAGATATAGCTTCCATTTTTTTCAGGTTGACGCGAAATTTTGCACAACGTACTAAATTGAGTATATAATGACGTAATTGCTTTTTGGAGAAATGCAGACATATTGGGTTTCAAATAATCAACGAGTTTCCGATTGAGATTTGCTTGAAATCGATTTACATAATTTTGTCTTATTCTTTATCTATCCAAATAATTAGTTTAGTATAGGTTACAAATGACATGTTTATGGATTGATTAAAGCCCGTGGCGGGGATTTTTTACAAAATGATTTCCCAAGCACTGTACAAAAACCTCTCAAGGCTAATTTTAAAGAAATTTTTCTCAAGGCCTATTTTTCAGAATTTTTTTCTCATGGCATATTCAGGCGTAGATTTTAAGAACTATTAAGCCGTGGATTTTTTAAAGAATTTCTCAAGGATCACTAAGGCGGAGATTTTCTAAAGATTTTTTTTTTGCTCAGGAGCTATCAAGGTGTGGATTTTTTAAACATTTTTTCTCAATGCCTATTGTGGGAACGATCTTTAGCCAGAGGATTAGGGATGTTACTATACGTTTTAAATGTTTTTTTTTTTTTCAAAAAGTAGGCCAAAATTGACATTTAAGGTATTTTGGGCGTTTTTTTGGTTTTCTTTTGTTTCAATATGTTCCCAACCGTATTAAATAAAAACACGACAATTAATTATTATTTTTTTAGATTATCTTTAACAAATATTTTTTATTCATTTAATTTATGCAAATGTTTGTTGAGCATTTTTTTACGTTTGTTGTTGCTGTTGGTTTTTATGACTTATAACTACAAAAAAAATAATTAATTAAAATTTGATTTTAAATATAATTTATTATATAAGTATATATAGAGTTTTTTGTTTGTTTGTTGTTGTTTAATATTAATATTTTTAATTTTTTTTTACACCTACTTAAAATTAAATTTCTAAGTTTTTTTATTTTTGTATAACATCTAAAAAACTACTTTAAACAATTATGGTAAATTATTTTTTTTTTTTTTTTGTTTCCACGCTGGTTTCTTTTACAAAGTTGGGGAGATTTTTTTGTTTTTGTTTTATTTAATATTTATTTTGTGTTTTTTGTCAAAACTCTCGAGTCTCACGGAAGCACTCATGCACTGAGAAATTATTTGTATGTATGTGTAAATAAAATAAAAAGAAATATTTAAAAAATAATGTTAATTAATTAATAATTAAAGACAAAGAACTTGAAGTCTAAGACACTTAAAGAAGAAAGAGGAAGGGATGATTGTTTAATTATTTTTTTTTAAAGAAAATTATATACAAAAGCTAACATATTTTTTTAGTTTTAATTTTTTTTTAATATCACTTAACTTTGGATACTCAATTACTTGTGTAGCGGTCTGTTTGTTTTGTAAATATTTTGTTTTTTGTATGGCATATTAAAATTTGTTGTGGGCAATTTTTGTTTTATTTTTTTTGCAAATTGCACAATTAAAATAATGTTTTGAGCCTTTATCGAAAATTTGGATTAATTGTATACGTTTTTTTTTTATAAAAAATAAAACTTAATAAATTAACGAGAACATTGCTTGTTAAAAAAAACTAAAATTATTTTAATTATACATTTTTTTAAACTTTTCTGGGGGATTTGTTTCCTTATAGAATTTAATTAATTTCAAATTAATTATTTTGTTTTTTTTTTCTTAATATTAAAAAAATATTTTGTTTATTTTTTTAATTTCCTATGAAGCCACTATTGTTTTTTTTTGTTGGTTTACTATTTGTTAAAATTAAAAAAAAATAAAAGAAATATTTAATTTAAAATTCCTTAAATTACATCACGTTTCCAATGAAGTATTACTAATTAATAGAAAAAATTATTATTATTATTATTATTATTAAATATTATTTTTGTTTTGTTTTTAGAAACAAATACACAAAAAAGAAACCATTTGTTTTTTTATTTTGTGAGAAATTAAACAAAAATTGTTGTTGCATTTTTATTGTGCGTCTATGATGGGAGAGTAGAATTATAAAGTTGTGCATTTTTTTTTAAACAAATTTACATTGATTTTTTTTTTTGTAATTTTTACAAACAATTTATATTGTTGTTGTAAATTTTAAGCACATTTGGAAGAATCCACCATTTTCTCTTTTCATTTTGTTTTGTAAGGGACCACACCCCCTTTTTTTGTTTATCCACTAAAAGATAGAAAAGAACGACCAATGATGATAGAATATCCTGGAATTTAATCATCATCCTTCTTTTCGGTTTTGAGGTCATATTTAGCACACAATTCTTCGGGTGAACAACTAAAAATAGAAAGAAAAAAAATTGAAAAATTAGTATAAAATAATTTTAAAAAATATATAAATTTCTAATTTAAATGTATATTTTTATCAAAATGTAATATTTTCTTATTAATTTGTGTGTTAAGATTTGTTTGCATTTGGTACATAACCTATTCACTTTAATACTAATTCCATAAAAAATCATTGCATACTTTTAGGCAAAACTAAAATAAAGGCTTAACAGGGTGCCACAATAATAGTATTTGCCCTAGCTCGATTATTTATTTAGATAATTCTAAATAATAATTTTTAATTTTAGTTTAGATATCTATCTTTTAAAATCCTTGTATTTCATTAAGATATCCCTTTATGGCCCTTGGAAAATTATTGCCAAAAAAGAGAATAAGAAAATGCCAACAAAGGTAATAATGAACTTTTTCCCATAACTTTGCTGATTAAAGACTTACACCCATTTAATAATTTCGATTTAAAATTGAGACTTTAATCTAGTAAAATCCTTCTATTTTACTAAGCTAACCCTATTACTCACAGAGTTATGCCACTTGGAAATTTATTACTCAAAATATTTTATGAAAATTAACATAGTGTTGCCCACGAACTTTACTGGGTTAAATCAAAACAACAATTTATATTTAAACCGTAGATTTTTATCTTTCAAAATTATTTAATTTCGTTAAATTATCTCCATTAAATTCAAAGCTATGACCCCCTAAAATTGATTACCCAAAATATTCAAAGAGCATAAAAATTGTATTACACATTAACTTTTTCCTCTAACTCTGGTGTTTGGTGGGGTACATTTAAATAAAAATTTTTATTTTAGCATAATATATTTATCTTTCAAATTCATTTAAGTTCATTAAGATATCCTTCTTAATTCCAAAGTTATGCTCCCCTAAAGTTGATTGCACAAAAAATACAAGGTGAATCAAAATTAAGGTAAATGTAAAATTTTTACCATAACTCAGGTATTTGGTGAGGTGCAACAAAATCAAAATGTTGATTTTAAAACTAGATATTTATCTAGCAGAATCCACTTGAATCATTAAAATACCTCAACTGCCTTCAAAGTTATGGGACCATGAAATTTCTTACGAAAAAAATTTATGAAATGTGAAAAATTAAAAACTTGCATATTTTTGGGAATAATTGCAATAATTGTATTTTTATACACGAAAAACGTATATCAGCATTAAAATTAGATATTTTTCTTTTAACAATTTTTGGAAACATTGAAAAATAACCACTGCTTCATAAATTATGGCCTTCTAAAATTAATTACTAAGAAAGTGTGGAAATTGGTATATTTTTCGGAACATTTGTGTTACCCTGTTATAGAGAATAGTTGCGAAGTTAATTAGAAATAAATTCCTTATACCTATTTGATAAAAATATAATAAAAATTTATTGTTTTGAAACTTACCCAATTAAACCTTGCAGATCACAAACGAAACGATAAACATAACGTTTACCCGCTGTTTTGTGAATAATATTTTTATCATAATAATAACGTAGGCCTCGGCTTAGCTTTTCATAATTCATTTTTGGTTTATTTTTGCGTATACCCCAACGGCGGGCAACCTAAAAACAAGAAGAAGAAGAAAACATTTCATTAATACCCTATAAAATATTTTCCGTTTGCATTATTTTTCAAAACTTACCTCATCTGGATCGGTTAATTTAAATTCCCAACCATCACCGGTCCACGAAATGAATCCCTGACATGTCTTATCCATCAGCAATTCCAATAAGAATTGCCATAGCTGAATGGGTCCCGAGCCTTGGAAACATGGTACACCACCCTGTGTGGAATAGCCACCTAATAAAGCCTTATCCAAACACATGGACGAGAGATAAGCAGCTGGATGTTGAGCTCCATGATGGCTGGCCCATTGATCGGCCTGTGCTGCCATACTGGGAAATTGGGGTGTATCATAGGGTGAAAATTCCGGTGAATAGGCATCATGAAATCTTGAACGGCCATAGGCATTGTATTTCTGTTCAACATTTAGACCATAAAAATCGGCGGGATTGTTATCTAAATAATTGTTGGTGGCCTGGCCTTGATGATCCTGTGACGACATGGTGGTACTGTGATAATCACTATCATCGTAACCAGAAGAAGCAGCAGCGGCGGCTGCTGCCACAGCATTGGCATTGGCCAAATGGGCAGGCGATAGGCCAAATTGTGTTGTGAGATCGGTGGGATCATTGGCGGAATTCGAGCCAGCGAGATTACCATAGGCTGTTTGGGTACCGGGTTCCTCCTTCATTTGATGTTGATTGTAGAAGGCGGCAGCGGCAACAGCTGAATTACGCATCGACATTTGCATGTAGTTGAGATTGGCACCAGTGTTGTTGTTATTATTGTTGTTGTTAGTATTACTATTAGCACTATTGGGCGATAGGCTGCTGGGTTGGGCAGCCGTTGTGGCATTTTGTTGTTGTTGGTTTGCATGAGCGGGTGGCAGCATTGAGTTTTGTACAGCATTTTGTTGTTGCTGTTGTTGTTGTGGTGGCGGGCTATTATTACGATCGTGGGTTGATGAGCCATAACCTAAAATGAAAAGCAAGAAATAAAAATAAATTAATAAAAATAATTCAAAATAAATATTGAAATAATATTAATAAAAATAAATATATTTTAATTAGTAACAAACTTTTCATTTTTTAAAAAAAAATAAAAAAATCATTTAGATATAATATTTCAATAAATATTAATTTTTTTTAAATTATAAAAATATTTTTTAATCAATTGTTTTTGTATTCTATTTATTTATTTATTAATTTTTATTTGTTATACCATTTTTTTTATTAATTTGCAATTTTTTAAATTTTTAGAATGAAATGTTTATTCTTTTTTATTTTTAATTTAATCTTTTATAATTTTTAATATTTAATTTTCTTCATTGTTATTATTTTTTTAAATATATATTTGTTTATTTATTTCTTTTATTATTTCATTTCATTTAATTTTATTTTTTATATTATTTATTTTTTCATATTTGAGTTTTTATTTATATTTTAGTATTTGATTTTTCTAATTTAATTTTTTTATGTTTAATATTTAGCTTTTATTTTTTAAATTCAATTTTTTAACATTTAATCCTATATTTAATTCTTTTATTTA